TTTTTGTTCAAAATGTGTATCGGTGGACATGTTTCTTCACAGTGGATGCACACAATTCTGCGATAATAATCCACCTTGGATGAGGATGAAAAACTCCTCCTAGCAAAATTTATCAAAAGACAGCCCCGGCTCCGCTTCTCGAAACCACGATGCAATAGTATGGGATATGCAGGTGACAGAACATTGAGGGCATGAACGAGAAGGGCACCTCCATTAGACAGCTTACTTTGGAACTCACCATGCTAGCTTTAGATTTGCCTGGAAAAGTTTCAGTATCAGAAGCGTTGAGTCTGGAGTCCCTTCAGCAATGTGATACAAAATAGGAGTTCAGTGGTCACCCAACTACATGAATGCAAACCGTCAAATACTATTGAGGGCTCCGCAGTCTTCCCATCCTTCCCAAAGAATCCTCGGTCCTACCTTACGAACACTATTTATTTATTTATTTGTTACGCTACATGAGGCAGTCGTAAGAAAAAAAAACCAAGGACATCGTAACATTGTTGCAGTACACTTCTATAGGTGAATCTCGGCAATTCCTTTTTAACTAAGCATTTGAAAAGTAAAAAAGCAGGGAAGACATGAGCCACTTTTGATTCAATATTTATGAATGAAGATCCGACTCGACACTTGAAGCTGTACCGCTTTGAGTATCGAGCTAGATCTTGAAGCCATACATCTCTAGGTCAGTGCATCGCTTCAAGACCTGGCGCTCACTAAATTCTTAACCGGGACCATCCATAATGGCCACAATGGTGTCTCGTTGGCTGAAGGACATTCTGGTGGATGCTAGAAGAGGCTCTATGTTTTGGCGCTCATTCAACTAGGGACGGCGGCTACGACAGCGGCCATGTTTCATTTTATTAGGTTGTCCGGAAATTAATGCCGGTTTCAATGTCTCATACTTTATTTGATATTTTTCCGAGAAATTTCCATACGATTGCTGTACTATTGCATATCGTTGGAAAGCCCATTTCATTCTCTTTCTTGCACGGCCATTGTATTTTGATGGGACTCGGGCCTCACTTTTTTTAAAGGTTTGAAGTGAAGGCGTCAAAGTAGTGGTTTGAGCAGGTTCACTTCTATGAGTTGAAATTTGGAGAGGGTGCTGTGCGGACAGCTCGGAATAGGATTGCTGTGTGGGGCTAAGGATGTTGCAATAAAAGCACACTGCTTCGATGGCTCCGAAGCTTTCAAGTTAGGGAAATCTAGATTCGAAGTGAGGGGGTTACGGACGACATTCTCCTCTTGACGGCGGCCTTCTGAAGACCCGGCAGAAGAAGATTTCCAAACAAGTGTACGGCAGCCAGCAGCATAACCTTGAGCAAGCATACTGAAATTTTCGGAGCGCCTGAAGGTACTTGGGAAGGTAAGAAAGCTGGACAAGTGGGTACCGCATGAACTGACTGAGCAGCAGCAAAGTCACCTTGCAGGGATCTTGGCACAACTTTTTTACTCAACAAAAATGTCCGACTCTGGAACTTTTCGTCATCCTCGACGGAAATAGGACCCTTCGCTATAGAATAGAGCAATTTTCCAAAAATCTAAACAACTACGAACATCAAAAACTTTTTCCAAAGTAGAATTTCTACAAGGTGAGGACCATGCTGATGGTTTCGTGGCCTTCCGGAGTAATGATGCATCGCAGCTTTCTGAACCCAGGTGATTTTGGTAGAGCATGAATGTCTGTCCATAACATCGATATAATGCTCCGTAAAGAGCAAGGCCTCTAACCAGAAGAAGGAAAAGAACTGTTCTCCATGTTGACGCCCAGCCACATGTCGCACAAAGGTCTTCGTAAGAAGGGACAAATCACAACTCACTACTCCATTCTGATTTTATTCAGTGCATTCGCAGGATTAACCCTACAACTCTGTTTCCCGGCCAAATCTCGACAGTTCTTGGGAGAAAAGATTAACCGAGACTGATGGAAAGACATTGGCCGCATTCGAAAGTTCTTGGGTAGAAAAAGATTTTTGAAAACCGAGACATGATGGAAAAGGCCTTGGCAGCTTCTATTTTTCCTGTATCTCAGGTTCATTAATTGAACCAGTACGCTTCCTGTTAAGAAATATGAGTAGTTTCCAACACTTTACTTAAATTACTGAAAATGTTGAGTTTGAGCTGAGGTATGTTTGCTGTGGAGACGAGTTTTAAAAACCGCATTGATTTCGGACATAAATATTTTAGAGCTGACGGATAACATTTTTTCACGTATATTAGAAGTCAAGAAATGTGCGCTATTTACAGGGTTTTTTTTGTAAACTATCACGCACTCGCTCGAACTCTATAGCAGATGTCCCCCAATGATGGAATCTCAATGGAGTGGAAAGCTTGCAAAAACCTTGGGTATTCGAATAAATATCATAATGAGGTGTCCGCCCTGGAGTAAGTTAGCTGATGTTTCACGGGACCATTTTGTGAGCGTCTATCGTGTGATGGCACGAAACGCGGCGCAAGCAAAGCTGGTACCGCGAAAATAAAAACAATGTGTCCGTTTAGAGGATGTTGTCATTTAGTGTCCAATGGGCACGTTGCTTTCAAAATGTAGGTGAGGTATCCCACTGAATGGATTTGAAAAAAATTGAACAAAAATATAAAATATTCAAATTCCAAAACCTTTCATGTCAGAAATGAAATAATAATTGAAACCCAAAAAAAAATTCAAACTGCACAAACACAGCAGTCTAATTATACACATAATGTTTTTTCTTTTTTTATAGGCTGGCAGGATCAATGGTTTGGGTTGCCTAATGTATAGGTTGACGAAGGGGCCACGTTAGGAACAAGGAAAAATCCGTCGCAACGATCGGTTACAAGTTTTCTTTGACGGTCGCGCCATTTGGTGCATTTGATCAAAATGTGTTCATTCGCCGTGTGCGCGCATGGTGTGGGTACTTAGGACAGAACGCGACTTTTTCGCTCTTCGCAACGCGACATCGCGCGGCAGGCTGGCGCACCCGTAGCGAAAACAACTACGGTATATAAGAACGCGCGATTGGAGCGCGATATTTGTGTCGGCTTTGATTGCGACAAGGAGTTTGAAGCTTAATAGCCATGGATTTGATAATGAACGAGGAAATGGTAACCAGAAGTGGACCGCTAACTAGCAGTGAAGAGGGAGGTAGGTTATTTTTGCAGAGATGGATGGTAGAGCTTCTGGAGAACCTGGAAGAGGAATGGTTGATGGACGTTTGATGAGACGACTGTAAACTTCTGCATAGGGGTTATTTGGGGCCCTGATCATGAATATGACACTCATTTTTCACATTCGTGCTGTTTAACGCATACTTTCTTCATTTCTAAGCTTTCTCACCTACAGCGCCTACGACTAAGCTTAGGGGAGGAAAGCTTAGGGGGGGGGTGAAACTCCGGAGTGGGTAAACCACGCGCCGTGTGGCAAAAGTTGGAGTGTGTCAGACACAGGGGAATGGCCTACCCACTTGAGCCTACTCAAAGGCTTAGTCCTATTGCGATCTAATTAGTGCGAGGGCGCAGACGAGCAGGAAGCAGGCGCCGAATAGCGCTAACAACAAATCAGGACCCCGAATAACCCCTATACAGAAGTTTACAGCGAATTTAGTGGGAATCAGTTGTGGCGCCACCCGGCCCCAAATGGCGCCAGCGTAAAAAATGAGTACCATATCCGTGATGAGGACAGAAGGGCGTCGGTTGTTGATACTTGTGAAGATGTCTATGCACATGATTAGCAAAATGAAGCAAGCGAATATTTGACCTCGGATACACGATAATTTTCGTTAACACCATTTTGCGTGGCATCGCCCGTAAGTCACAAAACGTTTTCAATAATGAGACAGAATTAGTGATTCACCGCATTTATCAATACAATGGGTGTGAGCGCGGGCAAGTAAGGAATCAGAAACTTACAAATTCACGCATGCAAAAAAGCTGCTCCAATCGCGCGTTCTTATATACCGTAGTTGTTTTCGCTACGGGTGCGCCAGCCTGCCGCGCGATGTCGCGTTGCGAAGAGCGAAAAAGTCGCGTTCTGTCCTAAGTACCCACACCCGGGCATACTAGGCGATGCACAAATCTCATATGGGACATTTTGAGGGTTTCCGTTACGGGACCCATATAGCCGATCCATTGGGAGCGTGAACTTCGGAATCGTGAACCTTTTCTTCATTTTGCTTGTAAATACGTGTTAGAAAGTCCAGTAGAAGCTCACCTTTGTTCCGCACTTTTGTGCGAGCATTTTTGAATGCAGACTACATTTCAAAGCCATTTTGGATATTACAGGAAGGGAGGGGTGAGTTCAGAGTTCAACGTCTGAAGCGGAATTTTGTATGCATTTCCGTGATCGATGATAACTCTTCGTAGGTAGGCGTATTAGAATCTGACTGTTTTCACTTTGTAAGTTCTTCGCATTGATTTTGCCCTTAGGAAGCATCATCGAAATTGAAGATGCCGAAATGCCACATGTTCCACGGATTCACAAGAATAGCAGAAGTCAAATAGTAAAAAAGTACTGAAAAAGGTTCATTAGGAGCAAAATGCAGATGTGCATTCCCGGCGATGCACAAATGTTAGATGTGGGAGTTTCTGACGCACATACCCGGCGACACGCGGCCTGCAACGTGTTAAGGGCTCACTCACCTTTCTGATCGGCTGTGCTAAGGAATGAGAGACTAAGCGCGGAGAGGAGAGTATGCGAGAGAGCGCTACAGATGAGAGAGCGCCAGACAACAGCCTGATAAGAGAAAAAATCTGCAGCTTCAGCAGCTTACTTTGCAAGGCCCAAGCGCTCTTGTCGGTTGGTTTCCGTGCACGGGAACGCCACATTTGTGATTGTCCTCTAGGGTCTATACTACAGACCGAGGAGCGTTCACACGACCTCTGCCTGGGTTGTGCCTTAATGATGTGTTTGATTCTCCTTGAGTGTTTTTTTTTGTGAACGTCGAATCCAACCTATGACTGGCTCTACATATGTGTAAGAAGTACTGGACTGAGGCAATGTTTATCATATTGAAATACTCTAGTCATAAAAGATCATATATAGCTTTGCGAACGATCTCTATTGCTGGTGGACTTTGCAGAATCCCCATATGCTCAGCATTAGGGATCTCATGAACGGTTACCTGAAAAAAAGATTCATCATTGGAAGCAGCACAAACAGAACACAGATCAAGTTGAGTAAGTGAGAAATTTGCTTGCAAACCTGCAAGCAAAGCTTACCTGTTTTCCTTGATTATTGGCTTCGTTCCAACCAAGGCACACCTCCGCTGACTTTCGATTCACTGTGCCGTCACCATCGCCGTACATAACGTAAGGCTGATAATCCGGGAAGTAACCTTTAGGCCAGTTGAACTGCTCGGCTGTAGCTACACCCGTACCGTAGAGACAGTGAACCTGAATCAGAAATTCTCCGCTATATCAAAGGAGCGGTAAAGGGGTATCGCAAAGTGGCATTGACAAATGTGTGCCAGAAAGTGTGAAAACAGGAGGCCGCACTTAAATCATGCCGCTCAAGCACTTTTGTTGAGGTTGAGGCAGCGTGTCTAAACTAATACCAAAATATCGCCGCAGGTGTTTTACTTGTGACTTGAACTTAGCCTCAAGCTAAACTACCCTAACGTATCCCTATTATAGCATCAGCCCAACCCGCTCCCAGTCCTTAATGACGTTAGCCTAGGACTGGGCTTAATCCGAGCTAGGGTCACAGGTGCAGTAAAAACAACACATCAATGCGCCAGTTCAAACATTTTGCTCTGATCGTAACAAATCTGACTTGACTTGCTCCTCTTTCCTGCCGCGGACTGATGTCGTGTGCTGCTAGTGGGTAGTCTCTCGGCAAATATCTCTTCCACACCTATGACTCCTTGAAGCAATTACCAGATCGGATACTGCTCAGAGTCATGGGTCGCGACTTGGTACAAAAAAACGGCAAAGGCGCAAACAAGGGAGGTCGTTCAGGGTGTGCCAAGCTTTTTCAAAATGGTTTCTTGCATGACATTGGGGCACATATGGGGACCACAGAAGCATGGTTCATTTTTCCTGAACGGCTCTCTGAATACCAGAAAAGGGGTCCCTAGTTCGATTCCTCGTGGTGACAAATTTTTGCATTTCGAGTTGACGTTTCAAAATTCGCGCAAAATGGAGTTAGCATGAATAATTAGTACCAAATTCATGATTAGGAACGTCAGTAACCCTTACAAATAGACTTTGATTGAAAAACTGGTGAAAAAGGTGTAACTAGGGACCCTACGTCTATAAGGGTGAAGCACTGATGAGTACTTCTTGAGGTCTCGAAACCCCTGGGCCTAGCCTATCAAGTATCTCTGATATTATTCGAAGGAAGCCCAAGGAATATCCCAGCGTGTCACTGCAAATATTTTAACTCGGCTACTGCTCGGAGAAAGATGGTGGTCATTTTCCCTAAAAACAGTTCATTACAATAAATACCTTTACTCCAGGCGCTTCCAGATTTCCATTCAACTGTGCTGCTACCTTGTACTGCTCCCATCCAATAGGATAGTCGATATCGTGGAAGAATTCTTGCACATCAGCAATCTGAACTATGTCAAACTTATGGTTAAAATTATTTGCATTCTTTACTCAAAGTTTCCAAGATTTAGTCCTTCGATGAAGGGATCGTACCGAATAGTTACCACAAGAATGCTGAGTTGTGGGCAAAACTTTCGCCCCAGCCGGGATTCGTACCCGGATCTCTTGCTTTCCGGGCAATTGTGCTACCAGTTACACCACCGGGGCACCCAACTCAGCTTCGATGGTAAAGTTACCATAGCTTATCAGCATTCACACGTATAACGTGATGAACCGGTTAGCCGATATCGGCAACAAACCGCAAGGCCGAAAATTCTTTTGGGCAGCTTGGGCCGGGGCGGAAGTTTTGCCCACAACTCAGCATTCTTGTGATAACTTTCACAACGCGAACTGCGGCGTAAAACAGCAGTTATCCAATAGAAACTAGTCCAAAATGGTACCGTATAGTTCTTTTCGGATGTACTGGCAAGAACTTCAGAGTCATTCCAGACGGCTTTACTGGGGAAAAGAAATGCGGACGAAGTGAACGACCTAAACGAGCATATTTATTCGTAAGAAAAGGTCATGATGAGCGTCCCATACGGTTGCGGAACAAGGCGGTGCGTTTCACAGCAATGTTGTTTTGCGACAGCTCAAAGGAAGAATTCACGACAAGAACGAAGATCAAAGGGCATAGTTGAGACAGGCGGACCTCCTGAGGGTGCTGACGCGCAATTGGCAGCGAAAGATTTGACCTCGGCGATCTAGCATGGCTCACTCTTGGCGCGGTTGGCGGGGTACGCCCACCGACTATCTAATCACTCGCCGCAGGTCTATACGTGGCGAGTGATTAGATAGCAGAGAGCGTAGTGTTGAAGAGGGCACAGCGATGAGAGTCGCATCAATGCGCAAATCAACGGGCAAGGAAGGGGTCCCATTTCTCGGGTTTCGGGCCGTTTCAAATGGTTTTCTTCATCCCTGCTCCACTGACCACCTCTACCCTTATTTCCAATGAGCTAACTTTTCATCGGAACTCTGCCTTTACTATGCAAAAAGGTAGCCTCAGAAGTGTGCAAAAAGGTAGCCTCAGAAGTGGGCACAATAGCAATACACAGGGGGGGCCAAAAAAAAAAGACATTTTGCCTCCACTTCCAGATGGATTTAAGCACATTTTACTCAACTCAGACCGAACGGTTCCAACTTATTATTAAAGAGTGCATTCCATTCTATAAGAAAATCTTCATAGTGGCCACGTACGTGGACGGCATCAGAAGAATTAGCCCTGGAAACATGGTGCACTGGTCGATCTCAATGGGGTCTTCGAAGGATCGTGTACCATAACGACCCTTACTGGAAAGCTAGTTCCGAGGGGATTTGCACAGTGGTCTAATGCCTCTAGAAAACTATCCAACATTAAATCGATTCACGAAATTGCGTAAGAGCTTCAGGCTGAAGCTCTTACGGTAGACCTCCTTGAGCCTGACGACGGTGACAGATGACGTCATATTCTGAAGACGGTGAGGGCAGTGAAGGAGAGCCTGCGTACACTAATAGAGGAACACTTAGGGAATACTCTGCTGAGGAACTCCCGTCAACGACAGCAATCTCTGCGAAGAAAAAAGAGCCGAAGTCCGACATAGGCAAAATGTCTTTTTTTTTGGCCCCCCCTGTATGTAGTGTATATAGGTTGCTCCAGAATGCGTCGTATTTCTCAAGACGAGATCCCCGCCGACCACAGTTTTGCACATGTCATATCCCCTGCATCACTGGAAGAGATTGTTGCTCAACAGAAGTGTGCTCACTTATTGCGTAAGTTGCATCGAGCCCTGCAAAGGAAACGTTCTCCCGAAGAACTCCTTTCGAGGGATAAAAGGTGCAATGCAGGGACGGCAACCGATTGATAACGGGTTAGCTGAAATGGACGTGAGACCCCTGCCCGTGCACCGTAGCAATGTGGCAGCATGACAGGAGATGACCTAATTAGGCAGTAGCTTTAACGGCGTGAGAACTGAAGCGTGATACTCGAAGCCAAGGACATCAACAGAATTCGCATAGGATTGTGCACAGTCGAGTCACTTGAATCGACGGATCATGACAACACGAACCATATAGGAAACCTGACTGCCGGGGTCTTGCAAAGTGAGCTACTGGAAGCACCTCCGTACTGACAAAGAATTTCCAAGCAAGCTCCGGCTGACGATAAGGTAGCCCTGAGCCCAACGGTGAAGGCCGTCGTATTGGAGAAGCAGTGAGCATTGGGAGAGGGCCGCTTCACTACCTACACGACGGACACCAAGAGATATCGCCCCAAACTTATCAACAGTTACACCTGGCGAGAAACTTGCGAGTGTACCGCAAGCAAAGTCTTTGCCAGCACACATCGCACCACCGGTACCACGAATGGCCCGTCCTACAAGCACTGAACCTGAAATGATTTAGCATGGGATTTTAGTAGAAAATTTTCCAACAGAAAAAGCGACACTACTTATGAGACAGCCTAAAGTTGCAGCAGTGCCGCGACGCAACCGCACGCCACTCATGTCTGCTTTAGGCCGAGGTCATAGTTTGCGAATCAAGCGGTTCGCTAGCGAATTGCTGGATCCGTGTCCACTGTCAAGTCGCTGGTGCATGGTTCGATTCGCTGGCGCAAAGTTCGATTCGCTGGTGCAACGTTCGATTCGCTGGCGCAACGTTCGCTAGCGAATCGCTCGATTCGCAAACTATGACATCGGCCTTAATGTCACGTTCCAATTATCAAGAGCAACGAGGATCCTCGTGAAGTAGAAAAAGTCTGACCTCTGCATTCCTCTTAAACTACTGGGTGGCAAAATCACTCTGAAGTAATTCATGTTGTATCCGGAGGCGAGAAGCCGTACAATTTGCATCGATCCTCCCCATGGACCAGCCAATGAGATGTGAGACTGGATGAACTTGTCCTTCCAGGCCTGCAATACTAGCGGTTTGTATTTGAAGCATTATCGACACGGAATCCTAGTGTGTCTCATTTGTTCCCATCGCAAATCACGAGCACAAAAATGCCAAACGATTGGGGTAGGGATTCTTCAAACTACTGTGCAGCATGCGACAGCGACAATGTTTTTAAATAAAATTTCGGATTTTTTTCCAAAAAAAAACCGGACTTTGTCTTGTACCAAATCAAAAACATGTGGTGCAGCTGTAACTTGGGCTTAAGTGCCTGAGCCAATGCTCCAACCAGGGTGAACAGTCCGTTCGCACTATTCAAACGCAATTGGCTTCGAGAGGGACGTCGGATTTAAAGGAAAGGCAAGGTTATCAAGGAACGGAGGTTGACGGAGATCGTCAAAGGGGGGTTGTGTTTGGATGGGTTTTTTGACGAGTTTGAGGCAAAAACATGTGGGAATTTCTCATATCAAGTCCCCCCGCCCCCCCCCCCCCCGCCTGCTCGCATGGCCGTTCTGGAGAAAAGGAGTGTGTGATTAGGTATAGTGGCACACTGAGATTCTCATCGAACTCAAATGAAAAGCATAGATGGAGATAAGGTGAGGGATAGCAGGGTAGCTAGACGCATACACTAGAAGGGGAAGAGGGGGAACGTATTATTCGAGGAGCCTTTCAAGAGTGATGGTGATGGGGGGTCGCTACTGAAAATGTGCGAAAATGAAAATGTGACCGTTGATTTTGGGTCCGCCGACTGAAGTGCAGCGAGATTTTGATCTTGATTTTGACGCTGTGGGAACAGACGCCACTTCCTCTCAATCATCCACTCACGGTAACACAGTAAGCGTCTACCTACCTGATCAACGATATTATTGAAAAAGTAGAGCATCATCGGATTGCCCATGCTATGGCCAAGAATGATAACTTTTGCGTTATCATTGTAGCGGTAGGCGGTTTCAATCGTGGTCTTCAAAAGATCGAAGTAGAGGTGCAGCTCGTCTGCAATGGAAATTCGAATCATTTTTTCCGCGTCACTAGATTTCAGTTACAAAGCAAGGTAACGGTTACGTACTAGGTGATTTCCTCCAATCAAACGGCGCTCCTATGACATTTTTCCCACGTCTGTAACCCCATGACACCATCATATCCACGATCGTGTAGAAATAATGCCCTTGCGATGCCCGTGAAAAAAGACGCACGCTTTCCTATGCTCCCTCTGAGCGCGAAGCCAAAGTACTGGTAATATTCGACATGTTAAAATAGCAGAAGCAACATTCCCTTATGAAGTCGTGTCGAATAATCTGTAGGGGAAAATCAAGTGGCCATCACAGTTGGGCCATTTCTTGGCTAGAAAGTACGCCGACCCCGAATGGTTGACGTAGTGCTTACAAGAGTAACCTGACAGATGATGTGAGAATAAGACGAGATCCCTCGCGTACGCATGACAAACATGTCAGCTTGTTCAAATACGCCCGGTTTAGTGGAACCATGGAGCAAGCATGTTCAGACAACTCGTTCGGACAAGCCCTGCCCCACCTGAAAAGGGAAGAGCGGAAGCCCTTGTTTACGGCTTCATCAGTGCTTTGCTTTGCTTCTTTTTTTTTCATTTGCAGTCGGTCGGCATCCAGAATTCCATTATCGACCACTCTCACTTCCCGATTTGGTTTGGGGTTCTTGCCTCAGAGACCGACTTATTGTTAGGGAATTACGCCTTAGAGTTATGGGTAACAACCCAATTAGATCCCAAATACATTCCTTCACCACTCCTATGGCAACTGCTCTGCACTTATTATGAATGTACATAGTCAGCTTTTGAAGAGAGTCATGCGCTATTTGTGAGACGCGCCAGGACAGCCGTGAATATGTGCGATTTCTAGGATGGCGCGGTTTTCGGGTGGCTGCGAGCCCTGCCTACATCACGCATAGACAGGAGCCATCTCCGGTAAACCACATTACTAACATATTTGTCAGTCCATCGAGCTCTATCGGACGTCTGGGGGCAAAGAAACCCAACTTGTACACCTCGCTTGCTACTCAGCTTACTGATAGCCTGTGGGTGGTCACAAGAACCGGACCACGTTACGGTAGGTAGCCCACATCAGAAATACGCGATGGAATGACGGATCTTAAAACATGAGCACGATTGTAGAACTGTCGCTCCTATCTTTCAGACTTTGAAGAAGGAGATATCGCCGAAACTTAGAGGCATTTCCCAGGGTCGAGAGATAGATGTGGTTTTGTACACTGGAATACTGAAAGCTATCGGACGAAACAGGCGGCGCACTAAAGAGAAAAGAGAGGTAAATTGGGCCCGACACCCGTTCTAGATTAAGGAGTTTGCTCACCTTCGTAATGCGGATTTCTTGAGACAATGAGAGACTGAGCGCGGAGGGGAGGATATGAGGCGAGAGAGCGGAACAAATGGGAAGGCGTCAGGCCCTACCTCGCTGCGGATAGGAACACTGCAGCTGCTGCAGCTAACTTTGCTAGGCCTAGCGCCATTGTCGGGCAATTTTCAGGCACGGTGTGCCACATCTGTGATTGTCTTCTAGGGGTCTCTAAGGGAACGTAATACGACTTTCGCCTGGGCTTCTTCCTCCGCATTTGAAGGAAGACTCCATGATAAGAGCGAAGTTCGAAGAAGGGGCAACATACATAGTGGAAGGACAGGCGAACCTCCTAAAGGAGCGAACCGACACGCCACTCTCATCAAAGGGGATGCCTCCGACGATCTAGCGATGGCTTTCCCCACGGCGCTCTTGGCGCGAGACGCCTCCTCTCGCTGTCTTAGCCTATAGCCGTTTGGCAGAGAGAGCGTTGGTCGCAAGGGCTCCCATATCTTGAGTTTTAAGCCGTATTTCTCAGTTTTTTCTTCATTCGTGCATCACTTAATTTCCTAGGGACTGCTTTTCATCGCAAAATCTGCCTTTAAAGACACTGATCGGGATTAGGCGATTAAAGGAACCCGCTCTGTCGAATAACTGGGTCTGCAACCGTAGAGGTGATGCCGCGCTTGTGACTCGAAACTGCGCGCGGCTACAACAAACTTCTGGCCTAGCATTTAGGACGACGTGAGCTATGACCGCCCACCGCCGGAAGTGGTGTGTGGCTGGCATAACACGTGAAATCAGCTGGGTTGATTGCCGTAACAGTTGCTTTCACTGAACCAGCAATGGTTGGCATGTCCGAAAAGTTGTTCGGACATGCATTCCTCCTGACCCAACCTCCTTCACCGCTGTGGGGGACAGACTATTTTCATCTTTGCAACGGCTTCTTCCCTTTTTTTCTTCACTGGTATTCCATTTCACATCTCTGCACTCACTTTCAAGCGCCAAAATACCCCAACTCGTCTCTACTCGCCTTTAAGCACTTGCGGTTTATTTAGCATACATGACGAACCGCAATCAAA